ATCAGGCAAGAGAAAGAAATAAAGTGTATTGAAATAGGAAGAGAGGAGGTCAAATTGTCTCTGTTGGCAGATGACATGATTGTATGTTTAGAAAACCCCATCATCTCAGCCCAAAATCTTTTTAAGCTGATAAGCAACTTCAGAAAAGTCTCAGGATACAAAATCAATGGGCAAAAATCACAAGCATTCCTCTATACCAACAGACAAACAGCCAAATTATGAGTGAACTCCCATTCATAACTGCTACAAAGAGAATGAAATACCTAGGAATACAACTTACAAGGGATGTGAAAGACCTCTTCAAGGAGAACTACAAACCACTGCTCAAGGAAACAAGAGAGGACACAAACAAATGGGAAAAGCATTCCATGCTCATGGATAGGAAGAATCGATATTGTGAAAATGGCCATACTGCCCAAAGTAATTCATAGATTCAATGCTATCCCCATCAAGCTACCATTGACTTTCTTCACAGAATTAGAAAAAAACTACTTTAAATTTTATTTGGAACCAAAAAAATAGCCTGTATAACCAAGGCAATCCTAAGCAAAAAGAACAAAGCTGGAGGCATCACGTGATCTGACTTCAAACTAGACTACAAGGCTACAGTAACCAAAACAGCATGGTACTGGTACCAAAACAGATATATAGACCAATCAAATAGAACAGAGGCCTCAGAAATAACACCACACATCTACAACCATCTGATCTTTGACAAACCTGACAAAAACAAGCAATGGGGAAAGGATTTCCTATTTAATAAATTGTGTTGGGAAAACTAACCAGCCATATGCAGAAAACTGAAACTGGACCCCTTCCTTACACCTTAAACAAAAATTTACTCAAGATGGATTAATGACTTAAACGTAAGACCTAAAATCATAAAAGCCCTAGAACAAAACCCAGGCAATACCACTCGGGACACAGGCATGGGCAAACACTTCATGACTAAAACACCAAAAGCAATGGCAACACAAGCCAAAATTGACAAATGGAATCTAATTAAATTAAAGAGCTTCTGCACAGCAAAAGAAATTATCATCAGAGTGAACAAGCAACCTACAGAATGGGAGAAAATTTTTGCATTCTAGCCACCTGACAAAGGGCTAATATGCAGAATCTATAAGGAACTTAAACAAATTTACAATAAACAAACCCATCAAAAAGTGGGCAAAGGATATGAACAGACACTTCTCAGAAGAAGACATTTATGTGGCCAACAAATGTATGAAAAAAAGCTCAACATCACTGGTCATTAGAGAAATGCAAATCAAAATGACAATGAGAGATACCATCTCACGCCAGTTAGAATGGCAATCATTAAAAAGTCAGATGCTGGAGAGGATGTGGAGAAATAGAAACACTTTTACATTGTTGGTGGGAGTGTAAATTAGTTCAACCATTGTGGTGATTCCTCAAGGATCTAGAACCAGAAATACCATTTGACCCAGCAATCCCATTACTGGGTATATACCCAAAGGATTATAAATCATTCTACTATAAACACACATGCACACCTAGGTTTATTGCAGTGCTGTTCACAAATAGCAAAGACCTAGAACCAACCAAAATGCCCATCAATGATAGACTGGATAAAGAAAATGTGGCACGTATACGCCATGGAATACTATTCAGCCATAAAAAAGGATGGGTTAATGTCTTTTGCAGGGACATGGATGAAGCTGGAAACCATCATTGTCAGCAAACTAACACAAGAACAGAAAACCAAACAATGCATGCTTTCACTCATAAGTGGGAGTTGAACAATGAGAAAACATGGATACAGGGAGGGGAACATCACACACCAGGGCCTGTCAGGGCTGGGGGGTTATGGGAGGGATGGCATTAGGAGAAATACCTAATGTAGATGACAGGTTGATGGGTGCAGCAAACCACCATGGCACGTGTATACCTATGTAATAAACCTGCACGTTCTGCACATGTATCCCAGAACTTAAACTGTAATACACACACATACACACACACACACACACGTGCTAGAAATTACTTTGTCATATACAATGGTTTGCTACTTTATTCTCCACAATTCATTGTGTAGAGTGTATATATTCATAATTGATAAATTCAAATGTGCATACGTTTAAAATTTTTATGTAACTAGACTTATTTTCTATCTCCAAGCTCCAGTTCTAGTTAATGTAAAAAATGATACTGTCACTTGTAGACAAACACGGTCAAATAAAATTTTGGATTAAAAAAAGAAATAATTAAATGCAGTGTAAAATATCTTCCCTTAACATGTAAGATACCTCCAAGAAATTGTTCCTTGATTTCTCAATTGAATGTGTTTTACAAAACTAACACTCACATTTAAAACTGAAAATTTAAAGCATAACACTATATAGACTGAATTTGAATTTACTGTAATGTTAGAAGTCCTTATTTCTCCCCTTTAAGGGAAATTAACATCTGAATATTTTAAACATTAAGGCCTTGCAAATCCTACCACTGCATTAGGCAGTGGTGGCGGGTTGCGGGGCGGGGGGCGGGGGGAGGTGGGCATGGCACGTGAATAATAGTGGACAAAATAGCTGAAAATGTATTAACCATAGCTTACAGTTTTATTTCATTTTACATTACATTCCTCTTTGGGGAAAGAAAAATACAGTTTCCCTCAGCTAGAAAAAAAATTCACTCCAACTCAGAAGATTCAAACTTCAAATCCAGATTTGGTTTCAAATAACACTGATTGAATACCTGCTGTATATCAAACAGTGTCCTTGGGGCTTTCACACATGTGACCCTTCTTAGTTAAACTCTTGTTTTTTTTTTTTTTTTTTTTTGAGATGGAGTCTTGCTCTGTCACCTAGGCTGGAGTGCAGTGGCACTATCTCGGCTCTGCAACCTCTCCCTTCCAGGTTCAAGCAATCCTCCTGCCTGGGCCTTCTGAGTAGCTGGAATCACAGGTGTATGCCACCATGCCTGGCTAATTTTTGTATTTTTAGTGGAAACGGGGTTTCACCATGTTGGCCAGGCTGGTCTCGAACTCCTGACCTCGTGATCCACCCACCTCGGCCTCCCAAAGTGCTGGGATTACAGGCGTGAGCCACCGTGCCATGAGGATAAGCAAAGTGCACTCATGTTAAGTACAAAATTTATTTTATGTTTATGCTGATTATATGAAGGTCATCATAGCTTAGATACAATCAAAACCCATGGGGAACAACTTTATAATTCATTTTTCTCTTTTCTAACAAAAAAAGTAAATAGGTAAAAAGGAAAATAGAAGACAACCTATCCTATCCTGGATGAGACACGCACATATTTAAATTGAATTATAATGACTTAAAATTTAAGTAGGAATATATTTTTTTTCTGAGAAACAAAGTTATAAAAACCAAAACTTTCAAAATCACCAAGTCTTGAAAACAGATTATGAAGCAGAATTTCTGGATGGTGTTTAATGACATCAGGCAACATTTAAATGCCACCTAGTGAGGAACACTGAAATTGCAGCTGAATTAAAATGACCTTTTATTTGCCTGGACAACAAAAATTTTCCATGATTTTGCTTTTTTGAAACAATGATAAGAAATTATTTTTTAGGCAATAAGATATTAAGTTATGGCAACAAACTGCATGGGATATTTCCACAAGGAGAGGATTTTGTTCCCTGATCTAGTTTACGTGACATTTTCCCTCACACTTGCTTTCTCTGAGCTGACTCTTCTTAAACTGACCTAGATGGTAGCTTATTTCAATTGACTCAGAGTTCATTCAAAAATATGATATGGTGACATGGATTCACTGACATGAAATCTAGGCACTCTCTCTGCTCTTGCTCACATTCTTCTTCATCCAAGGTTCCAGCGTGATTTTAGGATATCTTATGCCAATCCTGTGTGCCGTCACCTCTCAGAAACGTAGGGACAACCAGCTATTCAACTACACTCCTATTCTTTTGCTTGACAGCCTCATGTGGCCAAATGATAGATGAACAAAGCAGTACAAGCACTGTGCCCATGTCAACGCCATCATCAAATGGATGATGGTTTTGCGTATCTTGGTTTTGCTCAGGATCTTCGAAGAGAAAGGAATACAACAGGTACCACACATATATAGGTAGCCAGCATTCACGGAACAGCCACCATGCGCAGGGCTGCACCCTTTTTTAAATTGGAGGGAATGGAATCATAAAAGCACAGAACTGTGATATAGCATGATGTACTGGGGAAACTGGAGGTAGACGTTGTTTCTGGAATTGAAAGAATGTGCACGTATAAACTGCATGCATGTACACATGTAAATATGTGTTATCTCCTTCTAGGGACTTCTTGAAAATTGGTAGGATTATCATAGCATATGTTCTTGGAAACATCTGTTGACTATTTCTATACTTTACAGTAAAAAGTACAAGACTGCAATGGCATAAAGGCCAAAAAAAAAAAAAAGCATTATAACCAGCAGAAATAATTGAAGCAGATATTTCATAATGTCTCAGATGTGAAAACTGGTATCTGGATATTTAGCAAAATATATTGACTCTGTCAAACGAACAAACCTGGAACAAGAAATGGCTTCAAAATGGAAATACAGAAATCACAGTAAACATTGTTTAAAATGTCAGATCCAAATTAAATATTGCCCCCACAGATATCACTAGAGCTTATTTCTTACAAATGCACCACTGAGCTAAAGGTCAGGTCCTGTGTATAGGGACCTTGTCTAAGCTTTTTTGGGGCCATTATTCCTGTGTGTATTCCCTCTTTTTAGCTAAATCAAACTCAAAAACAGAAGTGCTGTTTCAATAACAACAAGGTTATAAGTCAGTGAAGTAAAGTTCGTGGTTTTCCATTGTCTCAGGATTTGCTCTCCAGGTTATTTATGTGTTCAGTGACCACAGGTAATCAGATGTCATGTGCAGCAGACAATCAGGTTTTCAACCACTGGGAAACACCAACGGGATAGCACTGCAGACAATGGCAGTCACTCCAGAGGGTTTCCCACTGCTGTGTTGAAGTCTCGTTCCACTTTCCGCTCTACCAATCCAGCTTCAGATCAGCCTTACTCCATGTGTATTTTCCTCCTCGCTTCAGAAACATCTTTTCATCAAATCCACTGAATTTTATAGCTTCTTCTACACCAACATCCAGGATGGACTTGGAAGGGTCCTTCCGTCCCTTTCTACAGTTCAGAAAGCGCATCTAGAAAATTCATAACAGAAACTGGTATATTTCCATGTGATGAATCCTGTAGAACTCAATCTACAGTATTAATCCCAAATAGCTTTTGATATTCCAGTCATGTCGACAGATATTTTTTGAAATCTGTGGCTGATATTGAACCCCTTGGACCGCATCTCTCTACTCAACCAGCTCATGATCTGGTGGAAGAGGCTGGGCTAAGCATTGTAGACACCTAAGTGCACGATAAACAGAATGATATGCACTCCGCGTGGGCAGATGTAGCTCCACTGGGGGAAGGGGTAATCAGGAGAGGCTTCCCCCAAATGCTGACATCTGAATTATGTGTTGAGATTTTAAATTGGAGGGAATGGTATCATAAAAGCACAGAAGTGTGATATAGCATGATGTACTGGGGAAATTGGAGGTAGACGGTATTTCTGGAATAGAAACGATGTGCATGTATAAAGTGCATGCATGTACACACGTAAATATTAATAAAGGCTTGTTTTGAGAAAGGGAGAGAGGATGTAAAGAAAGGCGCTGCTGAAGCAGGCAGGTGCCAGATCAACAAGAGTCTTCTATGACCTGCTAAGGCTCTTTGTTTTAATCTTATTCCATCCATTTTCATTTGTTTTATTCTGTCCTAGACTACTCTGTAGGCAGAAATGATTTCTTCACACTCCTTACGACCTACACTGAGTGTTTCATAGGAGCACAAGTAATACTTGTTGAAGCAAAATGTTATTCAATTGGTAAAAGCAAATTTTGGTTCAACTATGTGTTTTCCAAATATGTTGAGACCAGCTAGTTTGCTGAGGGATGCTGGTCAAAATCCCTAGTCAATCATAATAATTTCCACTCCAAAAATAAATTGTTTGAATTTTCCTCTCTACCTTGGACCCAGAAACTGAGTATTTTCCTTATCACCTTTTCCCTTACGCTCTATTAAGAAAGCTTATATTGTTAAGAAATGAAATGGCTATAAACACTGATTGGTTAACTTGAAAATAACAAAATACCAGCTGGGCATGGGGGCCCACACCTGGAATCCCAGCATTTAGGGAGGCCCAAGAGTTCAAGATCAGCATGGGCAACATGGCAAAATCCAATCTCTACAAAAAATACATAAAAATCCAGTTATGTGTGGTAATGCACACCTGCAGTACCAGCTACTTGGGAGGCTGAGGCAGGAGGATCACCTGAGCCCAGGAGGCTGAGGCTGCAGTGAGCCAAGATTGTACCACTGCCCTCTAGCCTGGATGACACGAAACCCTATCTCAGAAAAAAAAAAAAAAGAAAAGAAAAGAAAAGAAAAGAAAACATCAAAAGTGACAGTAAGCATTTCTCCAAAAGACAAATCCAATTTAAATATGGAACTCAAGGTGGCTGGAGCTCATTTCTTTAAAATACGTCTTCAAATGGACTTATTTGTCCTTTGCTAGAAAGAGTGGCAAAGGTTATAGATCTAGAAAAAAAAAAGACAGAGGAAAGGGGGAAGTGATTTGTTTTTCAATTTTGAGAAGCACGGGTTTCCCTCTTCCTTTGGAAGGCAGCGGGGGTAGGAATAATATCAGTGGTGTTTGGAGCAGAACCATAAGCCTCTCCTCACCAAAGCCAAAGTTTATCAATCAGAAGACAAACTGGCTGTGTCTGGTTTCTCCAAGATAATGAGAAGAGTGATATGGCCTTCCTCCAAAGTAGGCTGGATGCTGTATCTCAGGAGAGCCTCCAGCCCAGGACTACATAACAGACGACTTTGTTGTGTGTGATAACAGGTTCCATGTGACATCCACGGAAGCATAGCTATATGGCAGACAATATCACGTGGTGCTCAGTGCAAATCAATGCTGGGACCTGGGTTCAAGCATGTGCTGTTCCAGTGTTTAGCTTCACGTTTGACCCTGAGAAGTGAGGGCTCTAGCATAATCGTAATCACTGACCGTCAAACTGTGAAGTGCTAATTAAGAAGGACAAATAGGTACTAGATAATTATGCTTATGGAACTCAACTCTGCCACTGCTGCTAATTAATTAATTAAGTGATAATTTTATAACTCATTGGAAATACTCACATATTCATCCAGAATAAGGTAGGAGTCTTTCATCTGCAAAGGAGAAGTTAATACAAATTTAGTTTCAGGTGCATTTCTCAGTATGTGAGCTCAACTGTCCACCTGGAGTGTTTGCGTTGTTATTATTTTGGATCCAGCATTTCTCATTTCTTGAGTTGCCTTTGGCATGGCCCTCGCAAGACAAGGCTCTGTTTGTGTGCATTCGGTTTCCAACAGATCACAGCAGGCCTGGATTCTCTGCTCTTTGCTGAAAAGGTCAAGCATCAGAACCTTCTTCCTGAAGGCTTCCCTGACAGTGAACTCCAAGGCAATTTCCCCATCCCTTCACACGTTTGGAGAGCCCTTTTCTTCTTTACATGGTATTTCCAATGACTCTGTCCACCATGTATCTGATTTCCCCCTTTTCAATTTATAGAGCAGAACTCTCTTGAATGCTACTTTTGGGAGCTAAAAGGTGGATTTACCTGAGGATTCTAATATTACCCTAACATGACTTGTCAATAGTTATGCCCTCTATACATATAGAGAAGCTGTACCTGTACTGCTGATGGGAAGGTATATTCCTTCTATCCCTATCCTTGTAGATAGGGGTCTGCAAAATTGTTTTCTGTAAAGGGCCAGATGGCAAATATTTTCTGCTTAGCAGGCCACACAGTCTGTCACAACTAATCAACTGTGCTTTGCAGCCCAAAAGCCACCACAGATGATACATAAGAAAAATAGCTTGGCTGAGCTCCTCTGAAACTTAATTTATGGGCCCAGAAAAACAGCTTTTACATAATGTTCACAGGTCATAAATACGATTCTTGTTTTAATGTTTTCCCTTATCAACTCTTAACTTGCATCCTGTACTACAACAGGTGGCAGGCCAGACCCGTCCCTGGGGCCAGCATTTGCCAACTCCTCTGCAGGGGTAGGAGCAGACCTGCTATTGAATGTCTAGTGGGGTACCAGTAGCATTAGCATCATCTGGGAACTAGTTCCAGGTGCAGAGTGGTGGGCCCACCTCAGACCCACTGAGTAAGGGTCTGCCCTTTCACAAGATCCCAGGTGATTTGATGAAGTTTGAAACAAACTGGCTAAAAGGTTCGTGGGCTTTGGGGTCATCAAAATTCAGATTTTGACCCTGATACAAGTCTGGTAAATGAGCACCTGCCACTCGGCCTCTTGGTGTATACAACGGAGATGATAAAACCTGGCTCATGAAGCATTAGTGAAAATGGCGATGAGTCAAAGGGATAACAGTCCCTCTTACAAAGGAGGTACTAACCAGATTTTCTATAATGTCATATTAACTATTTAATTAAGATGGAGTTTTAAAATATCAAATAAAATAGTGCATAGAGGAAAACCTCCTCTACCCGCTATCTCTTCTTTTTGATGGTAATCCTGTCCGCCATTCCGGGATTTTCTTATTCGTGTTCACTTCAACATTACCTTTTAAACTTGAACCATTTACCTAGAGCCTCAGAAGTCTAAAACATAAGGAATGAATGTCTGCTCTTTGAGTTCCTAGCATTACTTAAGCATATGGGGTAGATTTTCCTGTATGTGTATTTTTGGATGGCAGATGGAGAAGCTGTTTTTAAAATAATAAAGCTAATACTTAAGTTACAAAATTTTAAAGTTCAAAAAGTTAAAAAGGTGAATAAAACGACTCATAATTCCACTACTCCAAGATAACCATAGGAATATGTAGACATGCACTTTTTTTTACACATTAGGCTTAAACCTCAAATTAATTTTGCATACTGTTTTTTATCTGTACCTACTATTATATTATCAGAATTTCTCTTTGTCACTTAAAAATTTTTGGAATATGCTTGTTAGTCAGTGTAACATTTCACTCTGTGAACCTACAGATTTACTCATCCTCTTTATGCTGAATGACAGGCTATCTTGAATTTTTTTGGTATTCTTCTTTTATTTTTTATTTTTTTGTGAGACTGAGTCTCGCTCTGTTGCCCAGGTTGGACTGCAGTGGCATGGTCTCTGCTCACTGCAAGCTCCAACTCCTGGGTTCACACCATTCTCCTGCCTCAGCCTCCCGAGTAGCTGGGACTACAGGCACCCGCCACCACGCCTGGCTAAATTTTTGTATTTTTAGTAGAGACGGGGTTTCACCATGTTAGCAAGGATGGTCTCGATATCCTGACCTCGTGATCTACCCGCCTCGGCCTCTCAACGTGCTGGGATTACAGGCGTGAGCCACCGTGCCCAGCCAGTATTATTCTTAATACTGCAGTAACATATCTTCACATAAATACTTCTCTACATCTGTGAATATTTCATGTTTTAAGGTAGAATTTCTAAATTCAAATATGTGGCTATTTTAAAGGTTATAAAGTTAGCAATTCGTTTTCTAGGAACGTTGCAATAATTTATACTGTTGCTAACAACATGAACTTGCCTCTTACTGTAACTTTATGCTTCATGTTTTATTTTGTATTTCTTTGAATATAGACAATATCAAATGCCCTTAAAATATTTATTCACCATTTGTTTTTCTTCTGTAAACTATTTATGTCCATTGCATGTTTTGCTTTTTTGGTGTTAATAGATTACTGATTTAAATAACTTTTTATATATAATACTTTATACTATTCAGTATAACATGTTAACATATTTCACTTTTAATTTTATGACATGTATGACATATATTTTTAATTTTATGGATTCAATTATACTATCAATTTTTTTTAAAGTTTGTATCTTTCATTAATAACGAGGTTCCTTATTAATGGATTTTTTTCTGTAGCTTCTGAGAACACATCTTTAGATCCCCTGCTTCTAGTAATACCTGAGAGTTCCACAGTGTAGACATGCTTTGGCCAACCTTGTTTTATCTGTGTATGAAATTTGTGCTAATAGGATAGATCCAATTGTCATTCCATTAGAAAACTAAACAGGAAACATTTCTTCTATATTCTATGCAACATAACAAAATTATACATAGAGATTATTCAGCTAAATAAAGTGATAATGTTGATATCAATAGAGTGGTATTCGTTAGTTCTTTCTATGTCTAGGGGCTATGTCATACATGTATGACACATAGGGACCTTATACATATATGAATCATATATAAAGAATATCTACATGAATCTATGTACAATTGTATCGTCTGCAAAGTACCACTGTATCCATCATGGATAGAGAAGCTGAAGCTCTCTAAAGACCCTGCAGCTGGGAGGTGGCAGAGCCAATGGCAGCCCTCAGCCCGATCTGCCCTGACATGGCACTCCTGCCATTTCTCACCACGAACCCTTTAAAATAACGATGTGTGGGACCCTTGGCTGAGAGACTTCCCTTTTGGGAGTCAGTCTGAATGTATGATGATAAAACAACTTTTGCTTTATACAACCTTCTGGTTAGATTCAGGCACCAAACAGGACACTTCTTTGTGGCGCTCCAAGAATCTTTCAAATTCTTCATCACCAATAACAAATCTTTCTGCTTCCCTTAGAGCATCTTCTCCACAATTCTCACCCTCAATTAAGAGGCACTGGAACACCTGAAAGGCAATGGTAGCATTTGCTTTGCAGAGAGCTTCCATTATGTTTTCCCCCAAACCTCACTCCCCTTTTACAAGCTTTATTTCTTCTGAGTAAAGAAGACTCTATGAGCTGAGGAACATTCTAGAGAAATATTACTTTGTGGAAATGAAAGCTAGCCCTGAAATTTAGGAATATGCTGTTAGAAGCACAAACATCCTTAAAATATAAACTTTCAAAAACTTGTCTAGATTATGTTTGATTGAGTCTTATAATATTTTCTGACAACAAAATAATGGGTATTTATTGAAAAAATATAAACTATAAAAGAGCATAAAAAATAAATCACGTGTAATCCCATAACCAAGAAAAACACATTTTAAAAACATTGTTTTCTCTGCTGATTTTTTATAAAAGCCTCTAGTGTATGTCTGTTTTTCACTTAAAACCTAAGAACAGTTTTTCAAAATCATTAATATTCTCTTTTGACAGTCTTTTAAGTGAACAAATGTGTATGTATGATTGTGTAAAGTGTATTATTCTATACATACTACCATCGTTTGAAAATAAAATTCAGTCCTACAAAAGGCAAGAAGTGAAGAGACTTGCCCAAGGTGACAAAGGGTGACAGCTAACCCAAGACAGAGCCAGGACAAGCCCAGATCTAAAGAGTTTCCATGGAAAGGATTATTCTACACAGAATTTCACTATTATCATCATCTGAACCATTCAGATGCCACTGTAGTCAGATGAGAAGGAATTGTCAACACTTCAATGTTGCCTTTTTTGCTCACTCTTTATTTTCCCTTTCTTTTTTGCTCCTCGGTCTTTTGATATTTGCCTCCACTGTCCCCTTTGCTTTTTGCTTTCATGGTTTCTTCCTTAAAAGACTGTGAGCATCTTGGGAGGGATCATCACCCATCCCCATGCCCCATTCAGGCTCAGGGTATGGAGAGGCCTGGCAGGGAGGGAGTACCCTTCCATGTAGGTTTGAATCATGAGCAGACTTGACTATCAAAGAAGACATACATCACAGGCATTTTTTCCCAGGGACTTTGACTCCAGAATCAGCCAGCTAGAATGGAAGGGCCTCTGTAGGAGAAAACCAAGCTGTAGGAGCTGAAAGGGGAACAATATTGAGGGCGTGGGATTGGGCATGGAAGAGTAGAAGGAGCTCCCTCCTGCCATGCTGCTGGAGGAAGCCTACAGGTCACAACAAAGCCTCCCAATGAGTAATCGTATGCTCAGTGCTGTTGTCCCGGGGACACGGCTGGTGACACCTTCCAGCCCACAGCCTCATGGTGGAGGAGGCAGCCTCAGGAAACCAGGTTCTGAGTGCAATGTACGATTGGACTAAGAACAGGCACCTGATCCAGGAGCATCAATTTACATCAACTGGAAGCCTGCATATATCAACCATCTGGTTTTCCAAACAGGCAGAAGCTAGCCTTCCACCAAGAGTCAGGATCTTGATGGCAAATCTAGAGTGAATCAGATGAATGGAAGCCGGTGTAGGAGTCAAAATATCTGAGAGAAAGGCCATGAGATAGGAGAACACCAAGCTTGGGGAAAAAATACTTACACATCTGAAAAAAGGACGCCGAAAGACAGCAATGAGGAAGACAGTAACAGGAAACATGGGGCAGAGGAGAGAGGTGGGGACAGGAGACGGGCAGGCAGGAAAGTCAATGTCTCTAAGGTAGCTTAGCCCTCCCGCTGGAGCCTCTGCCTTCCTGGTGGATCGTGGTCCTGCTTTTCCTATCAGACCTCTCTCTTTAGCTTTTCTCCAGTTCCTTCTACACCTGGAAATGAGGCTGATATTTCATGTCCTTATACATGTAACCAAAAGTTCAAGTTCAACATACCTATTAAAATTTTTTCAAAGTAGCATCTCCAGCTTCCCCTAACCCATTTCCACATATTACAGGACAGCTTCAGGAAAATGATAGACTATCCCTTTCCCTCCTCCCTAACTCTATCTGGAATGCTGACATGGGATTAAAAGAAATAGCCAAGGCAGCTTTGAAGGAAAACCTGTTCCTTGTGCAGGCAAGCCCTCTAGTCTGGATGTGGCTTTCTTCTTCAGGTCTTTGCTACCTATGAAAATTCTTTCCATTTTTCAGAGCATAGCCAAATGCCTCCTCCTATACGAAGCCTTCCGCTTAAGCTCAGCCTCTTTTGCCATTTCACGGTATGATAGCACACATAGCTTTCTATTATGTGACTTTTCCCACATCTCTTTTTGTGTGTTTGTGCTAGCACTGCGCTCTGCATCTTACCTTTCATTGCATCTATGCTGGGCTCCAGACACAAGCGCTGGATGGCTATACAAGAGTCCCCAGGACTGCTTGTTAGAAATATATGTTTGTGTAAGCCCTCCCTGCTATGCTTGCCTTCACCACAGGCCTTGTTTCAGGACAGCAGGTATGAGGCCCAAGAAACTGCTTTTAAACAGCCTCCTGAGTTGACTCTGACAAGCAGTCAAAGGTAGAAACCTGGGATTTTAGTCATGCATGTCTGCACACGGTGGGAGCTGCATATACGGAGTTGGCTTGCATGTGTGTGGACTTCAGGCTTTTAGTAGCTGGTAGTGGTGCCAGCCCTAAAGCATGAATCTGGGAGTAAAGGTCCCATTTTGCTACAACTTGGGGATGACTTTACCCCTAATGTCTTCTAGAAATTCACTGCATCAGAATTTATGAGGAACCTGTATCTGTCCATTCATAAGCCAAGAGTTTTAAAAAGAAATGTAGGCTTTCTATGAACATATTATTCCAAACATTTCCAAGCACTGAGCATATTTTTTTATGTTTATCCTCACAATATTTCCAAAGGAAATCATTTCAAGTCTTCAGAAACGGGAAGTAAGGCAAAGAAAAGTACAGTTTTAAGTCTAACAGAGCTGAAAGATCAAGAATCTGACTTCTGGACTGGCTTGCGAGGTTCAGAGTTCTCTTGTGTCAGTATTATTTTCAGTTTCATTGAAAATAGTCATTCCTGAATGTTTTCTTGAAGGAAATCAGCAAAAGCGACCTTGTGTACTTACTTTCCAGCGGACGGGGTTTAGTGCTTTGATCTGTTCCGTCATGTCCTCTTCCACGTTGAAACGATTAATGACAGAATTTATCTTGAAAGCGACTCTATAATCCCTACACCACGTCCTCAGCTTTTGAAGGTTTTCCACATGGTTCTTCTTTCCTTGGCCACGGCCAATAAGGACATTGACTTCCTCATCAAAGCTGTCACAGGAGACAGCGAGAATATCCAAATATTCACCTGAGGGAAAATGATCATTTTTAAACTTTTCTATCCAAGCACCAAGCCCCTCAGGCTATTATATCTCTTGTGATAAAATATATGTTGTTTTAATTTTTAAAAAGACACTTTTCCTTATACCCACGAAACTCACTGAGATATGAATTATACTTTCTTCTTATGTCAAATAAACTTGAAAAACTAAATATATATGTAAAATAAGGATGCAAATACTTAGTTGATTATTTGAAAACTCTGCACATGTATATGTGTGAGCACTTACTGACATATTTAAATATATCAGGTTTTTCATTTATTCCTGCATACAAAGTATGTAATTTCTGAGGCAGGTAGATATATTTGGATGCCTATAGACTTATTTATGAACAGTTACAAATTTACTTCTTTTTCTTTCCATCACACAGATAAAATTGCTCTACTGAAGATCCCTAGTATTTTTGCTAAGTTCATCAGCTTCTTCCGGACATCTCCTTAATAGTTGATTCATCATCTAAATATTTAGAAACACTCTATGTGATGTCAATGACCACTGTGTTAGATGCCAAGAAAACCAAGAGAAAGGGAAGCCTGGTGTGGGAATAAAGTGTAAACAGACCCTCCTTGCAACATGGTATGTGAAGAGCTGTGATAGCATGTCATTTCGGGAGTACAGGAAGTGTTCACAATTACCTTCGCTTTGGTTTCCGTCACACTAGTTTCTGCTCCACCTCTCTTATTACCCCTCCAGTTTCCTCTGCTCCTTCATGCCATCCACTTATCTCTTAAGTACAGGCATTCTCGATGGCTGAGTCACTCCTTGCAGTTGATTAAGTCAGAGTTTTCCTAGTTTTGTGACTTTTTAAGAGTTGACTGCTTTTCTTAAAATTACTTTCAAATTATAGAAGCTGGAAATTCCAAAAACTCTTTAAGCAGCTATCCTCTAATATTACAAAAGGAGTCATTTTGACTCCTATTTTGGGCTAATTTTATTTTATCCATATGTAACATATGCCCTCAAAACATCTAGCATAAACCGGAGCCAGAATAAGGCAACTGTCCATGATTTAAAACAACTCGAAACATTCTAAACATTGATCTCAAATAAATTCCTAATGGCATATCACATTGTGAAAAGGCAAGTCACTGAGCACCTGATCTCCAAACAGACCAGAAATTAAGTTCAAAACCAAAAATGCAGAGACTTATCAGTTATGCAAAAGTCAAGACAAGTCATCTGAGGATCTGTAAGTCAATTGCTATCTTCTGCCCCCCTTCCAAGTTTTGCTGTATGTCCATGATAACTATCCTCCTGTTCTCAGCTTTTCCTTGCCAAAGCTCTCGGGAAGAAAGATTTAATGGAGCAGATCTGTTTGCTCAGTCCCTAAATCTTTCCAGAACCCGGAACCATGGTGGAATCTGGGCCAACCCCTGCATATATGGCGACTACAATATTCTACGTATCATTGGTGAGGTGTATAAACCTGGGGCAATGGAGCATGTTAAATCAACTTGTCAAGACTTCTCAGGATTGTTTAGCCAGATCCACGACTTCCTTGGTTGCATTGTTGGGGTCCTGAGTTTCAGTTCCAATAGCTGGTTACATAGAAGCATGTGCGTAAATGACCAGCCCTGTATAAAGCCTCAGACTCTAAGACTCAAATGGACCTTCCTATGCAAACACATTCCAACTATGTCCCTGTAGTTCACTGCTAGAGAGAAAGTACAACCTGTGAGGCCTGGGATGGAGAAGGACTCAGGGCCTGTGTCTGGACTCTCTGGACTCTGGTGATATATATATGTCATTACCCTGCTGTTTCTGTTCTGTATCCTTTACTCTAATAAACCCTAGCCATGAGTATAGCTGGCTATTGAGTGTTGGAAGTCCTTCTAGCAAATTACCAAACTTGGCGAGGCAGTGGGGTTCTAAAACAGCTCTCTTCATCCACTCAAGCACATGACCCATCCCTGACCCATTGAGCCAGAGGTGGAAAATTAGCAGCTTATGGGCCAGATAGGCATCTGTATACATTTGTTCCTCACAATGCCTAAAAGTATTTCAAATTATTTACAAATGTTTATAATTGTATATTTTTGATCTATGTTTAATAATTTGAGGATCATCCAAATTATCTTGCTGTACAAAAATCAATGAAACCTCCTAGCTGGCTCTCCGCCCATGCACTATAGGAATAGGGCACAGTGCTTCCCGTCCTCCAGTCTTTGTGGTTTCCTATTGTCTCCAAGCTGCTGACAGTGACTTTTCTTATATGCTTCTAAATTCACTAATTTATACCACTTTCTCCCACAAGCCTGAGAGATTTGACCTGGACGTGCGGCACTGTCCCTGATCTGTACACCACAAAGACACCCTGGATGACTGATCTTAGAGGAAGGGCATTGGCTGGGTACCCACCCAGAAAATCCCGCCAGGTACTCTCCATCACACTGCTTCCTCAGTTTCTTTTTTCTCTCTCTGAGTATGGCTCCCAAAGTTCACTTTTCAACTCAGACCGCATGTGTGACAAAGTGCCTCCCTTCACTACCGTTTCGGTTTTACACACTGCCTTGTAGGCCTTTCCTGATTCACCTGCACCTGACACCTTGACTCTTCTCTACCTTCTTAACCCTTATCAGATGGACCCTCCAACCCACATCCACAGCGTCCCTCCCCCACAGTCCATGTCCGCACCATCACAGATGGTGTACCAGAGATGTCTCAGCAACATCCTCAACAGATTATAAATGCAGCTTCTCTTGGAAAGACTTCAAGTCTCGAACAGCTCATATAAACAAGAACAGAGAATTTTACTATAACAGGTTACACCTGTTTCCCAACATGACAGTCCATATAAGAAGAGCTAATGTTTTCCAAGCCCTTGCTAAGTTTCAAGCACTGCTCTATGGACATGACATCTGCTGAAAACTGCGAGGAATCTCAGCAGACTTAGAATTCAGCGGTTCTTAATTCTGGCTACACGGTAGAATCCCTTGGAGCTCCCCATATTGGCCAATCCACACACCACGAGGTTCTGATACAATTAGTCTATGGATCCAGTCCAGTCCCAACAGAGATATTTTATTACAAAGCTGTCAAATGTGTTAATTTTCCTACCTAGTGTCTAAACTAAGGCCATAGATCTTGTATTTGCTAAATTGCAATGTACAAGATAGTCATCTCAGTAATAAGGTCTATTATCTAACTTGCCAAACTTGTTTACTGAGAGCCCTAAGGAAGTAAAACTGCCATAATGCCGTGCACAGCTTGAAAAGCGATTAGAGTTAGCAAGATTAGCTTTTCCTCCCTTCCAGTTCTCCTCAGCAGGTCTGGCTGAAGGCCCAGGATGGAAGGAAATACAAGAACCAACAATAACAATAGCAGTAAGGAGAGTGCCATCCCATGAAGCACACCATAATTCTGGAACCACCTCTCCCGGATCAGGCTTCCATTGCTCACGATGCTCACGCTGGGCAGCTGCAGCTCTGTTTTGCAGAACTTCACCAACTTGCCCAGGTATTCTCCCCGGTCGTGAAGAAATGGCTCTCCACCCGAAAAGTTGATCTTCTCCATACCTGTGCAAGGTGATACATGAATTTTACCACTTCACAAATATACATTATTATTTTAATAGCAAAAGTAATATTTTCTCAATGTAAAAAAAAGAAATAAAATTTTCTCATTATCTTCCCCTCCCCTAACCCTAGTTCTCAACACCAATCCCACCCAATGGGAATAGCGTATGTTTAATTCGGGGTCTAAACAGGGATGCAGGGAATTGGTTACACAGATGAACAGAATTGCTCAGACACCAAAGGGTACAATGAGGCAGCACCAGGATTTGCAAAGCAGAAAGCCATATCCCTGCCATGTGGCGTGACTGTCCACAGGCCAGCTGCCAGCCTGGGAATAACACTCGTCCTCACTCTGCGTTTCCCATCCCCACTCCTTGTCCTGGATTCCGTGTCGCCCTCTCTCTTGGGCTACTCCCTTATTTTAGAAAATCCCTTTACAGGCTTCCTGAAAAAAATGTAAAAGCAGGAATCTGGAACTTATATTACTGGAATATTGGAGTTTCTAAATTTAACTACTATTTTCTTATCATCTTCCTTTCTATATCTATCCTGATTTTTTGGTCTCATTTTGGCAAGACTTTGCCTTTTCGTCTTTCTATTAAGATTTTAATTTTAGAAACCCCATTTTTAGTTCCCCAGACACTTCCATATTCTGACTATTCCTTTCCAGGCATTCTATTCTTGTTTCATATATGCAATTCTTTCTCTTATCTCTCTGCAATTACTAGTTATAGTTTTTTTTGGAAGTTTTCTTCTTCCTACATCCTCTCTGGGTATTTGTTTTGGTGTCTGCCTTTTCTTTTGATGTTTTTATTTGTTCATTTAAATTTCAGTGTGGCACAAAATAAGTGAATGGAATTTATGTGATGAAGGGAGGGGCTGGTCCAAAGGAGGGTTTCACTAGAGAGAGACAGAGAGGTAAACCGGTTTATTCACAGAAAAACCTCCAACTGCTAATATCCTTGGTCTTTACTTTGGGGTCATTTTGTTTTCTCAGAGAAGAACATCTGTCTCTTGCATGTGTTACACACCCACCTGCCTGCATTCTAGGAGGATGGAGTCTATGCGTTACACATCCACCTGCCTGCATTCTAGGAGGATGGGGTCTACGTTTACACATCTGCCTGCCTGTGTTCTAGGAGGATGGGCTTGTGCGTTATACAGCCACCTGCCTGCATTCTAGGAGGATGGATCTATGCGTTACACACCTGCCTGCCTGCATTCTAGGAAGATGGGCCTTTGTGCCATACACCTGCCAGTCTGCGTTCTAGAAGGACAGGCCGATGCGTCATACACCTGCCTGCCTGCATTCTAGGAGAGTGAGCCTGTGCAAACCTCTTTTTGGTCTCTCTTAATCTGTATCTGGTCTCACCATACATCACCCAAGGTAATATGGTTAAAGCTTTCAACCCTTAAATAACCCATGGGGAAGGAATTATTATCTGGTTTTTAGTGCAAGAATTGAAGCCAAGAAGGTTAAACAACTTGCTGAAGATCATAAGACAAGAGAAAAGTAGAGCTAAGGTACATGCCTAGATCCAAAGCCTGGAGTCTTTATAAGTAGAGAAGCCTCCAGGCTGGTGTGCCTGGAACAGTTTTGGTTTATAGTAAACAAAACAGTATCTGTGAGTTTTAGTGCCCCCTTTCACGCTCAGACGTCTCTATGATTGGACAGTGAGACATTATACCACCTATTTATGACCCATCATGCTGGGAGGCAGCTTGAGTGACGCTCATTATAACCCGAAAACCAAATAAAACATAATTACCTAAGTAGTGTGGTGACGTAGTGGCAGATAAACTGTAGAAAGTAAGACAGGGGCCTGGCCAGTGGCACAGAACTGCTAACAATTTTGAGGACTATATTTAGAAGGGATGGAAGAATAAGGAAATGGAAGGAATAGAATTTAGAGGCATAGTTAAGATCTTAGACAAGGAGTAATTGATTTACAATAGTGTTAACATGCACGAGTGATCATATTACAGCCCAGATCTGATGCTCATTATTTTTAATTCTATTCAGTCTTTCTGAATAGAATTTCAAAACAGTTTAAAAGCCAGAAAAGTAAATAGTATATTTTAGAAGCATCTTTAGCCAGAATAGTAAATTTTAATTTTAAATACAATATATAAAATATATATTAAAATTTAAATTTCAATGTAAATGTAAACCTTTAATTACCACTGACAGAGCAGGAACATCATCATCTCAGACAAACACCACCACTTCAAGTTCCAGCTCCCTTTCTAGCCTTATGCATTTTAAGGAAGTCACTTCTCTTCTAACTACAAGCAGCCAGAAAGAGCAGACAGTAAAACACAGATAAGACAGCTCGGGCACAGAGGGAGGTTGAGGGAAGTCTCTTAGGTAACTGCCAAACTTCATTCTCATACAATGGGCCCCAGTAAAACAGTGGGCCTTAATAAGCACGTTCGTTTCTCTTCAGTGCTCTAAGATAGGGAAGCTATAAGCAGATTCAGGGTGGGTATGCCTGCAGCTGCAGGAAGATGTATGGTAACAGACACACAACTCTCCTTCCCAGATAAACACAACAAAGAGAAACAGAAGCAGTCCAAGCCTCTAATAAACTTTCCCACCCTAAATCCTTAAAACTCTTGGTCTGTAAGAGAATGGGCTCTGACCTAACTCAGCCACAAGCCCCTATCAGGTTTGTTTTCTCTAAAATAAACCTGTCCTTGACTGTGGAGCCACCTTTTGTGATTCTTTCCTCTTTCTTTAATTCCTACATCCAAAAAAATAGGTTTCCTCCATTACGTAGAAATCTCTCTTACAGGAAAATACAACCTACATTATCCTGTAAGCATTTCAATTAACTTTGGTTTTATTTACTTAAAACAAGAGGATATAATATAAAAGTATTAATTATAACTATTAATAATTTATCTTTGGGGGGGCGGAGCAAGATGGCCGAATAGGAACAGCTCCAGTCTCCAACTCCCAGCGCGAGCGACACAGAAGACCGGTGATTTCTGCATTTTCAACTGAGGTACTGGGTTCATCTCACTGGGGAGTGCCGGACGATCGGTGCTGGTCAGCTGCTGCAGCCCGACCAGCGAGAGCTGAAGCAGGGCGAGGCATCGCCTCACCTGGGAAGCGCAAGGGGGAAGGGAATCCCTTTTCCTAGCCAGGGGAACTGAGACACACAACACCTGGAAAATCGGGTAACTCCCACCCCAATACTGCGCTTTAAGCAAACAGACACACCAGGAGATCATATCCCACACCTGGCCGGGAGGGTCCCACGCCCACGGAGCCTCCCTCATTGCTAGCACAGCAGTCTGTGATCTACCGGCAAGGCAGCAGCGAGGCTGGGGGAGGGGCGCCCGCCATTGCTGAGGCTTAAGTAGGTAAACAAAGCTGCTGGGAAGCTCGAACTGGGTGGAGCTCACAGCAGCTCAAGGAAACCTGCCTGTCTCTGTAGACTCCACCTCTGGGGACAGGGCACAGTAAACAATAACAAACACAGCAGAAGCCTCTGCAGACGCAAACGACTCTGTCTGACAGCTTTGAAGAGAGCAGTGGATCTCCCAACACGGAGGTTGAGATCTGAGAAGGGACAGACTCCCTGCTCAAGTGGGTCCCTGACCTCTGAGTAGCCTAACTGGGAGACATCCCCCACTAGGGGCAGTCTGACACCCCACACCTCACAGGGTGGAGTACACCCCTGAGAGGAAGCTTCCAAAGCAAGAATCAGACAGGTACACTCGCTGTTCAGAAATATTCTATCTTCTGCAGCCTCTGCTGCTGATACCCAGGCAAACAGGGTCTGGAGTGGACCTCAAGCAATCTCCAACAGACCTACAGCTGAGGGTCCTGACTGTTAGAAGGAAAACTATCAAACAGGAAGGACACCTACACCAAAACCCCATCAGTACATCACCATCATCAAAGACCAGAGGCAGATAAAACCACAAAGATGGGGAAAAGGCAGGGCAGAAAAGCTGGAAATTCAAAAAATAAGAGTGCATCTCCTCCGGCAAAGGAGGGCAGCTCATCGCCAGCAATGGATCAAAGCTGGACGGAGAATGACTTTGACGAGATGAGAGAAGAAGGCTTCAGTCCATCAAATTTCTCAGAGCTAAAGGAGGAATTATGTACCCAGCGTAAAGAAACTAAAAATCTTGAAAAAAAAGTGGAAGAATTGATGGCTAGAGTAATTAATGCAGAGAAGGTCATAAACGAAATGAAAGAGATGAAAACCATGACACGAGAAATACGTGACAAATGCACAAGTTTCAGTAACCGACTCGATCAACTGGAAGAAAGAGTATCAGCAATTGAGGATCAAATTAATGAAATGAAGCGAGAAGAGAAACCAAAAGAAAAAAGAAGAAAAAGAAATGAACAAAGCCTGCAAGAAGTATGGGATTATGTAAAAAGACCAAATCTACGTCTGATTGGGGTGCCTGAAAGTGAGGGGGAAAATGGAACCAAGTTGGAAAACACTCTTCAGGATATCATCCAGGAGAACTTCCCCAACCTAGTAGGGCAGGCCAACATTCAAATCCAGGAAATACAGAGAACGCCACAAAGATACTCCTCGAGAAGAGCAACTCCAAGACACATAATTGCCAGATTCACCAAAGTTGAAATGAAGGAAAAAATCTTAAGGGCAGCCAGAGAGAAAGGTCGGGTTACCCACAAAGGGAAGCCCATCAGACTAACAGCAGATCTCTCGGCAGAAACTCTACAAGCCAGAAGAGAGTGGGGGCCAATATTCAACATTCTTAAAGAAAAGAATTTTAAACCCAGAATTTCATATCCAGCCAAACTAAGTTTCATAAGTGAAGGAGAAATAAAATCCTTTACAGATAAGCAAATGCTTAGAGATTTTGTCACCACTAGGCCTGCCTTACAAGAGACCCTGAAGGAAGCACTAAACATGGAAAGGAACAACCGGTACCAGCCATTGCAAAAACATGCCAAAATGTAAAGACCATCGAGGCTAGGAAGAAACTGCATCAACTAAGGAGCAAAA